CATCTCTCAGGATATCTAATGAGGCTGTCACCTTATCTGTTTATTAGATCACATCCTTTTTATGTTTCTCCTTAATCTCCGTTACCAAATTAAACACAATCACATAAAAAATGAACATGCACCTAGTAATACAATCATATCTTAAATTTCAAAATCACACAGTGGTCAAGTAAGACAATAATACATGCATTTAAAATTCGAAACCAGATACCATCATGCCTTTAAACTGTAAAATAAATCAATAGGAATCAACAGAGAACAATGTCCGATTTTGGGCTCCATTAGCAATCTGTAATTGATTATGCATATTTATTTAACCTGTACAAAAGACCGTATTATTATTTATTCAAACTTCACATCTATGATAGAAAATAGGATTATTAGTCCTTACCTGATTCGACGCCGAAAATTAAATGGTTACTACGCCTACGGGTAGTCCCTGAGTTCCCTGAATTTTCCTACAAATGTCCCCATACCCCGTCCAGTAATGAACGCCAAAAACACCATCGCCTCGATATTCCGTCCGATATGAGAGTGAAATAAATATCCTAAAACCCATATGGTATGAGACGTTTCAGCCCCGTCCGACTGAGGTAATGTCTACGGTAGGATTCTCTATATACCGAATCCGTCCACTCTTTTCCATGATGCCCAGTAAGCTTTTATTTATTTAGATTCTTCAAATAGCTACCAAAGCATACTAACGTCTTATGTCATATTCACTTATTAATTTAAATGATATTTAAGTAAATGATTTAATTTATCATAACTAAAAATCAAGTAACCAGATAACTAGATAAATCATGCAAGAAGAGACCAAATAAACCAGATAATCGAGAAAACTATAAAAACCATCAGTGTAAATATGCACAGTATAATAGTGAGCAATTTATGCATTACAGAAAAATAAAAAGGGAATCAGGACAAATGTATACTAATTGGTTTCGACTCTATTAATGATCTGTAATATGTTTAGAATTTTTTTAATTTTTCACAAAGCACACAATTATCGATTATTAATCCTCAATTTATCATAATCGAGAATAAGATGATGGATCCTTACCCATATCAGTGCTTTAAAACGGCGAATTGTCCATTACGCCTCCTAAATAGGTCCTGGGTTTCCTGAATTTTTCTTACGGGAACCCAAACTACTCGTCACATATAAAAAATACCCAAAAAATCCAAAACCGATGTTGAAAATCCTTTTCAACCAATTTTAGTATTTTGGCACAGCAGCACCGCCATGCTCCAGCGGTAGCTTCACCGTCAACAGCGGTGGTTCGCCTTAACCTGGTCGATTTTAGTTTGTTTTGACTGATTTTATATACATCCCTGCAAAAAAACACGTTAGGAAGCATCAGTTGGATAGAAAAATTAAAAAACTAAACCAAACGGCGGAGGGTCTTTGGGTGCGGTGACTCTGCCGGAACTCCTTTGCAGTTAGGGATTCTTCTCTAGCTAACCTATATAGAAAGGAACGACAAACACAATGATCAAAGAATCACGTGAAATAGAAAATAGGAAGGGGCTCATCAAAGAAATTTTAAATTTTTGGCTACGGCGACTTCGCTAGGATTTGGCCGCAGTTTTCGGCTCACCTGTCGTCCCTCTTACTCCGATATGGCCATAGGAAAGTTTGGAATAAAATTTTGAGCGAGTATGAAAAATTTTTATATTTTTTGGCAATCGACGATGACTCCGATGCGGTAGCAGTCGATGGTTGGCTTTCTTCTGCAATGTCTGGTTCTTCTTTTCCGGCAGAGGTTGGTGACTAGGGTTTGAGTTCCCCTGCAAATAAGAGTTTAAATACTCCTCTCCTATTCGATCCATGCTGTTTGTTTACGTTGACGTGGCGCGAGGAGAATCGTTTGACCGTCTCTCATTTAGGCTGATGGTGTGACCGAATCTCCGTCTGATCAAGCCTAAAGGGGGAATGTATTTGGGCTGTTCACGCGTGCAGAATCAATCCTGGGCCATCGGATCACTGGGCACGCAGATCCCCTGCATGGTCCCCCGTGTGGCGCCAACATCAGTGTGTTTTGCTATGTGGCGCGTCCTGATTCATCGTGGCTGCTGACTGCACTGTCCTACGTGACCGAATTTTCTCTATTTGTATTTTGAATTTAAAATTTCACATATTTTTTAAAAAATTATTTTCAATTTCATCCTTAATTTATTTTTTCTCAAAAATTCAAATAAACTAAATATAATAAAATAAATAATTATTTTATAAATAATTTAATAAAAAAATATTTCAGACTTAGGTATTACAAATAAAAATTTTATCATATATTATTTCAATACCATGTGAAATTCCATGTGAGAATAAATTTTATACAACTTTAATTAAATTCATATTAGTTTCTATTTAAAATTTCTTCATATTATAATTTTTTTTATAATCATCTAATTAAATTAAGTTTTGATCATAATTAAATTAAAAAAATTAATTTATTCCAGACATAATAAAAAATCACAGTCATAACTTATGTGCAATCAATCAAATTCTCATATCAAAATGACTTTTTTTTAACTCAAATTGTTACTTTGGTGTAATATATATATATATATATATATATTATATTCTCTATTAAAAAAAAATATTTCCTAATTTTTTATGTCACTTATAAAATCAATGGTCAATCAATATGATTAATTGTTTTATAATTGGCCCAAAAGTTGATTTCTATCATGGGCTTGAACACTTTGGCTATACTTACAATGCTTTCTTTCCTCAAGAAAATCCCTCCTTACATGTTCATATTATTCATAGATCATTCCTAGTGTGATTTTTTAATTTAAAAATCTATACATTTCATTAATTATGTGATACAAACACATCAATCATAACATTGATTTTTTAATAATAATATACGAGACACATATTTTGTTAGTTTGCGGTAAGAATTTTACCTTATTGAATATTGAACACTTTGTAGACACTAAGTAATTATTCAATTGTTTCCGGTAGGCGACGATTAAAGATCTCTTCACTTCCAATAGCTCCGAAGTTTGAAGGTCCAATGTTAGCTATTACGCACTATTTCTATAATTATAAATCAACTTATACATGAAAATAAAAATATATTCACAAAATAATATTAATATAACTATTCTAGATTTTAAAGTGAGATCTATATAAATAATCATATCAGTTGTATTTTAGTAGTATCATATATTAAGTGATAACCTAATATTACAGTTATATTATCTTAATTAAAATAGTTAAAATAATTTAAAAATAATTCGACTTAGCCATTTTTATATATAAAAAAATGATAATCTTATTTTAAAGAAACATATATAGAGCAAAGAATAAAATATATGACTTTTACATGACAAAAGAAATATTGATACGTAAACTCCAAAATAGAAGTTAGCATTATTTTCGGTATTACATAGCAAAAGCATCTCAATGGGGCTAAGTGCGATGACATGGGGGAAGGAAGGACTTCAAGGAGAAAAAAACGTCCCACCTTTTCTTTCATCGTTGACCGAGAAGAGACTAAAAAATATGGAGGAGAGAAAGGAGAGCCAAAGACGTGTAATTGACTGATTTAAACAATTATGACCGAGTTAGATGAGGCAACTTGAGAAAAAAGATAAAAAATGAGAGGAAACAACTACAAAACAGCTCGAGGAAGGTGAGTGAAAGGAAATAAGGAGAGAAGAGGAAATCAAGACTTATATATATGCAACTTTTTTAATATATAGATATTTTTAAATTAGTTTGTATTATTTTTTTAGTGTCACGTGATATCTGACGTGACATTCACTTATATAGTTACAAATCAAATAATGTCATATGTTCTTAAATTTGACATATGACACTATCTTTAATATTTTTAATAAAGAGACTAATTATAAGAATTAATTTAATCAAAAAATTGAGAAAAAGATTAATTTGAACAAAAAATTAAATAAAATGGGATCAATTTATTACTTTTGCCTCATAAAGTTATAAAACTAAAATTATAAAATATATTAATTTTACGGGATAAGGCAAACTATGAGAGTGAATAAATATTAGTTAGAAAAAAAAAAAAACTCACCGAAGCTATCTCATGCTGAAAAGAAGAAATAAATTAATTTTAAGAATTAAATCGAACAATTATAAGAAGATTTTTTTAAAAAATTTAGAGAAAAAAAGATTTTTTTGGTTAAAATAAAAAAAAAAAAAAAAAAAAGCAAAGATAAATAAAAGGAGAGTACAGTATTCACGTGCGTCTATATTGAAAAGATAATAATAAACACACAACTAACAATCCCCCACCATTATATTCACTTTGGGTTAGCTACATACATTTATATGCTCTAGGATCAGCTAAGAGTTTAAACGACGTCGTTTACTTATAGACACAGCTATTTCCATTATTATTACCCGCGGGGTTTGTCACACTCCAGTATTTGATAGGCTGTATCCGTCTACAGAGCTAAGATTGCATACTTTGTTTGACTTTGACTTTTTCTTCGGGCTCTTATGTCCGCCGCACGTGATCGAAATCTCTAGCCCGAACACACTCCCAAAACACGAGAAAAGCCCTCGTCCGGTCTCCCTCTCCCGCCGCCGCCGCCGCCTCCTCTCTCTCTTTTCTTGTTTATGATCTTCCTTTCCTCTCGAAGACGACGCCGTTTTACCCCTACGTTTCTCCTGCTTCTCCGTCTTCACAACTACGTCGCTTTCTGATCCAGTACTAGTCTCCGCTGCCTTCTGCTTCAAATACATCGCCTTCGCGATCGCCTCCGCTACCACCGACGCTGAAGGTCCCAAGTCGGAGTTCACGATGCTCTCTCCGCCTTTTTCCACCGCCGATGGGATAACCGATACGGTAATCGCCGACGCGGTGATCGCCGACGTCGTCGTATTTGTGTACGTGCAGCCGCTTACCTCGCTCGTCGTTAACTCCGTCTGATCGCTGTGCGAGCGGCGTAGTCTTCTCGGTACACTGTCTTCATTAATGGCGTGGTAATTATGAGCTATCTGATCCTTTATATGTTTAGGGTTTTGAATATTCTTCTCGCCTCGAAAGCTGCTCACCATTTGCTCCGTCGCCAACGGCATGCTACGCAGCGTGCTGTCGAGCAGAGCGACCCCCATTGTCACCATCCCTTGTGGCCGACCGGAGGGCCTCCACACCTGCAACTCCATAAATCTCATCGTTTTATTGTTATGATTAGGGGTGAACCGGGTTGATTTTGAAACGGCCAGGAGATCACTGACGAGGACTCGTACGGTTCCGATGAGAGCATCTCTGGTCCAAGCGGCGGCGTAAATCTCAACCTCCAAAGCAGAATCGGGAGCAGACAAGAACTTATCATCAACACGAAACACAAACTTATCATCCCAAATGGGATTCGCGTCGTTTAACTGATCAACCCGTGTGGTCATCTTTCGGAGCGGGTCGACCCAGACCACAGCATAAGTCTTCATAGATTTAGAGACGGTAGCAAGGTCCTGGGCGGAAA